ATGTTGCAAAGTGATATCCGCCAGTTTGTGAGTCGCTCTAGTTGCAAGACGCTGGAGGACATGATTGCGAGGGCTCGTGAGGGAGAGATCGATTTAGAGATGGAGAGGAAGAGGAAGCCAGAGGTGGCGTCTGGCGTAGCGAGTTCGGGAAAAAAGCTCAAGGTGCCGGACCATAAGTCTAGGAGCCAACAGATTCCGGCTACTGCAAGTGCGGCTGAACTGGGCATATGAGCAGGGATTCTATAGTTGCTACCACCACCACGACATCATCAGATCTGATTTGCTTTCAGTGCAATCAGAGGGGACACAAGCGGTCCCAATGTCCGAGTTTAGCATGATCAGGACAGGTGGTGGCACCTGCTCCTACCACTCTGAGGATTACCCACGGCCGTCAGGGCCAGGCTGAGACACAAGTGGCGAAGAGCATAGCCTTCCGGTTAACAGCAGAGGAGGCACATGCAGCTCCTGATATGGTTACGGGTATGTATATTATCCATTATCTGTTTATCATTTCTGATTATTACTTATGTCTGTGTGTTTTTTATAGGGTCGTTCTTCGTGAACGGCATATCAGCCATCGTACTGTTCGATTTCGGGTGCTACCCGATCTTTTGTGTCGCTCACACTTAGCAAGTGATTTAGTAGGGCTCCGAGAGAACTGGATTGTCCAATCGACGTGGAGATAGCAAAAGATAGGACCGTCAGAGTCGTGAGGGTTCATAGAGGATGTACGGTACGGTTATTCGATCAACAATTTTCATTGGATCTGGTTCCTATTCCGCTGCGAGAGAATAAGGTTATAGTGGGTATGGATTGGTTGAGTCCTAATGGAGTAGTGATTGACTGTGAGCAGCATCTAGTGAGGGTTCATACTCCTAGTGGGGGAGAGTTAGTGATACAGGGCAAAAGGCTACAACGCTGACCGATTCTTTGTTCAGCAGTGAGTACAAGGTGCCACCTTCAGCAGGGTTGTGTCGGATACGTTGCCTATGTCGTGGGTACCCAGGATAAGGGTATGGAAACAGTAGATGATGTACCGATAGTGCGAGAGTACCCGAATGTATTCCCGGAGGATTTACCTGGGATACCTCCGGAGAGACAGGTTGAGTTTAGGATTGACCTGGTTCCTGGTGCGGCTAGGATAGCCAAGGCACAATATCGGTTGGCTCCACTAGAGATGCAGGAGTTGTCTACACAGCTGGAAGAGCTGCTAGACAAGGGTTTTATTAGGCTGATAAGTTCGCCATAGGGATCCCCGATCCTATTTGTGAAGAAGAAGGACGAGTCACATCGCATGTGCATAGACTACCGAGAGCTAAACAAGGTAATGGTGAAGAACCGTTACCCAATTCCGATGATAGATGATATGTTTGGCCAGCTTCAGGGAGCATTTTGGTTCTCCAAAATTGATCTACGGTCAGGGTATCACCACATGCAAGTCATAGATGATGATGTGCAGAAGACAACTTTTAGGACCTGCTATGATCATTATGAGTTTGTGGTGATGTCGTTTGAGCTCACCAATGCTCCAGCCGCAATCATGGACCTCATGAACCGCGTTTGTAGACCGATGTTGGATCGGTCTATGATACTCTTCATTGATGAAATCTTGGTTTACTCCAAGACTCCGGAGCAGCATGAGGAGCACCTGAGAGAGGTGCCAGAGACTCTGAGGAAGGAGAGATTTTTGCAAAGTTATATGAGTGTGAGTTCTGGTTACATGAGGTGCAGTTCTTTGGGAATCTCGTCAACCAAAAGGGTATTCTAGTCAATCCGACCTAGATAGAGGCCGTGATGCAGTGGGAGATTCCGAGGTCCCCAACTGAGATTCGAAGTTTCCTAGGTCTGGTAGGGTATTACATGAGATTTATTCAGGACTTCTCCAATATTGCAGTTTCGTTGACCCGACTAACTAAGAAGTCGGTGGTCTTTCGTTGGGGATCTGAGCAGTAGGCAGCAGTTGAGACGCTGAGGCAGTGTTTGTGCAAGGTGTCAACCCCCCCCCCCCCAAACCGTTAGAAATAACGACGGAAACGTACGGGGGCGAGCGACGTCATGCGTAGTATCACAACAATCGTATCATAGCAATCAAAGTAAACACAACCATTACATTAAAATAAGAATATTTACATCTGTTTGAAAACATAGTTTATGTACATCAAAGTAACAAAAGATAAAGACGAGACTCCAAAATGCTCCGTCTTCTCCAAAAGCTGGCAAATGTACCTATCTATCGTTGCCCTGAGAATACAAGCGGTTTTGAAAACGTATCGGCATAAAGCTGGTGAGTTCATAAGCATGATTTTGTATTGGAAACTAGTCACTGAATTTGTACAAAAGGTTTCTTTTCATTATAAGTAAATATCATTTGTATCAAAACCCTGGTTACCATCAGTAAGTAAAGTACGTTACGTTTGAAAACCCTGGCCAGCACCAGTAAGTGAGGTACGTTTCATTTAAAAACCCTGGAATACCCTCCAGTAAGTAGATAGATAGTTTTATTACTTTAAATAAAACCAAAGGTTTTGTCCCTGGAATATCCTCCAGTAAGTAGATAGGTAGTTTTATTACTTAAAACAAAACCAAAGGTTATGTCCCTGGAATATCCTCCAGTAAGTAGATAGGTAGTTTTATCTCTAAAAATAAAAGTATTGAAGAATAAACCCCGTAAACAAAGGTTAGTTTATACTTATTATGAGTCGTATAACCATGCTAACATGACCGGTGACCTCCTTGACGTTTCTTCAGGCGTCGTACGATTTCAAAATTTGTCACCCCAGGCATGCCGGCCTAACTGTAGCTAACAGTTCAGGTGTGGGATTATCGGTCCCGAATAGATCTATTCACAAATTTCATGCTCTCTCTCTCTCTCTCCAAGACAGTCTGGTTACACTAAAAGTGAGGATTTACTGGTACCCTGAAGGGCATAACGAAGATAGGTCTCACAATCTTGTATTAGCTAGTTTACGTGTAGTTCGGTTGTTCTCGAGTTTGAAATCGTTGGTAAACGGTGTAGAGTATAAATAATTATACACAAAATAATTATTTAGTAAGATACTCTTATTATCAGTAGATAATAATGGATAAACTAAATCTATCATAGTTTATGTGTTTGAATCTGTAAAATCGGTAAAGAATTTCCCAAACTATACCTATTATAGTTTGACTGGTATGTTATGTTCATGAATTGTTCTGAAAACTATGTTTAGAAAATGTCCCTTATGCTCTGCATATTACAAAAGGGATAAAGTATCTAAGTGTTTGATGTAAAACCGTTGTAATTGCATCAGTTTTTAAGTTGTGAAAACATTTATGTTTGGCTTGTATTCCCCCCCCCCCCTGAAAACGTTTTAAAAACTATAAAAGTGTAGGGGTATGAACTCACAGTTGGTTGGTTGCAAAGGATTGAATTAGACGATCCTCGAGTTGACGCACGTGGCACTTAACGGAATCCTAATATCAATAAATACATATACGTATATAAATTAGTGATTTCGTTAGATAAAGTGCTAGATAGACACTTGTTTTTGGATAAAGAATGTTATCGGAACTTGGTTGAATCGAGGAAAACAGGATTTTCCCCACGAGAGAGTGTTTACGGCCGTATATGGAGTTTACAATCGTGAATAGAGTTTACGGCCATGAACCGGGTTTACGGACGTGAACATGGTTTACGGCTTTCGAGGATCTTGGAGATTACGTCCATAAACTCAAGAACACGAGTGCTGGTTTTCGACTAAAAAGTGTTCCAGAGGCTCCCAAACGGCCCCAAATGACGATTTCCGACGTTTTTCGGGTGAAACGAGGGCTTTAAGGAGTTTACGGTCAAGAGGTTTAGAGAGAGAAAGTGGGTGTTTCCGGACAAGAAGGTTGAAATGAGGGTGGGGGTCCTGTATTTATAGGCCAGGAGGTATAGTCGGTGGTGGGATTTATCTAACACCGACCGTAAACAGAGTTTACGGCCGTACACAAGTTTACAGCGGTAAACTTGCCTTGACCGCGAACTCGTCGTTTTTCGGGGGATTTGTGAGTTTTTCACGTGATTTTTGGTTTCCGACTCGTATGTAATTATAACAATAACCTTAGTTAATTTACTTAACCTAAGAAGTTGACGGAAAATAAAGGCTTTCAAAAAGTCACAAAAACATGACTTTTTGTAAGTTTACATGTAAAAATTAACACAAAAGTTGAAAATCCTAACACCTTTTAAAAAAAATCTTTCACAAAAAAATCCTTTGATCAAAAGTCCTTGTTTTTATCTTGAAAAGTAATCTCAAACACCATAGACCCTCACAAATCCAAAATAATGCTAGTTTTTTCACGATCGTTTAGATGATACGCTTTACAAATTTTATTTATCTCTTTACACTTTGTCCGAATCCCGAGTTTAACTATTAATGCAAAAAGAGCTATCTATATAATTTCATCCGCTGTCTGCATATATATCAAGCTATGCTTTGATTACGAAACATAAGAATCCTTGACAATTAAAGGCTTTACCTTAACCCACCAAAAAGAATCGAACCATTTTCTCTAAGTAGAGATACGTAGACGGCAGACCTCCTTAAGACCTTAACCTTCTCGTATTTAGTCTCACTTCCGATCTACATCATGTCATATATACCTTTATCAACTAGAACTTATTCTTTCATACCTAACTCAGTTACTTTGGGATAAGTGGATTGCTGACGTACTTACTTGGCAATCCTATGTTTTCGTGAGGGACCTAGTATATATACTATGAAAGCATATATATGGATGGATGTAGTAATATAAAGAGACCAACAAAGCATATCACTAATCAAGAAGGATAAACATGTGGACATAAACAACCATATTGTCTTTTTGCCGACATATACTTGGCGTTATCACTTAACATCATGTGATCAATCTTTCTTTTCTAGACATAATTATCCGATAGTAGTCCAAATCAGATTTGCAATATTTAGGATTCGCAAGATCGAGGATATATCATATGTAGATCCTGGTCATCACCATCCATGTGTAGAGCAGCAGGAGTTGGGACACCTCGTTCTGTTTTTGAGGTATTCTAATTTGCACTAGCCCTTACCTCGTCTTATAACAGTGTCTTCAATATATGATTTTACTATTTATAACATCCTATAATATGTCCAATAATTATGTGTTATGCAAAATAAATAAATAAATAAATAAATATATAAAATAGTGAGACAACTGGGGACATTTGTGTTGGGATAGAGGGTGAAAGTTGGTGGATGGACAAAGAAGCCTAGAGCTTTCCGTAAAGTAAAACTGTACATATTTTATACAACATTTCTCCGACATAAACACATAGTGTTTTAGTTTTGATGAATATATCTATGATATAATGGCGTAAAGAAAATGAAAATTAAAACTGAAATTGATTAATGAAACGTTTACAAAAATACAATATGTAACGAATTTAAATATATTAATTAACATTTGTGTGGCGAGAACTAGCACAAGTTAATAGCGCGCGTTTTGGTATTCGTATTGCATGTTATATTCAAAAAAATTGCAGCGTTTCTTTTATCAAATTTCTTAAATAAAATATTAACAGAAACTAAGTACTAATTAATTAAATATTAAATTTGTTATGTTTTTAATATAAAATTATAACTTCATTTTAAAATATCTTATTTTATTATTGAATTAATAAAAAATTATGATCTTTACTATCGCGGGTTAATTGAGAATAAAGATAATACAAAAAAATCATCATTTATGTGTAGATTCTAAACGATACTTAATTGCATACTTGTTAGTGGCATCTTGTCACTTTACCCCCCATCCGTTTCTTTCTCTCACATGCTAACGTTGTTGAGTTTGGCTTTAAATAGAAGTGCACAAGTAGCATAATAATACACACAGGAGCTTTGAAGATGGAGAATCCCCAGAAGCTTTGCAGAAAGTTCAAGGATGTTTCACTGGAAGAACTCAGAGATAGGCTTGCCGAATTTGCTAAAGTAAGGAACTGGGATCAGTACCACAGCCCAAGAAATCTCCTCTTAGCTTTGGTAATTAGTTAGAACTTCTGATCGATCGATATATCATATGTATTTAATTATCTTAAATAAGTTTTAACCATTTAAGCAAGTATATTACAAGAAAAAGATTAGATGATTGGTGATTCTAATGGATCGATGGCAGGTAGGGGAAGTGGGAGAGTTATCAGAGATATTCCAGTGGAAAGGAGAAGTGGAGAGAGGTTTGCCAAACTGGAGCAATGATGACAAGGAGCATTTAGAGGAAGAACTCTCTGATGTTTTGTTGTATCTGATTCAGCTTGCTGATGTTTGTGAACTTGATCTTGGCCAAGCTGCTCTATCCAAGATTGTCAAGAATGGCCAGAAATACCCCATTCTCGATTAGTTTTGCTTTTGCATGGTCCTTTAATATTATTTTCATATGATGGGCCAAGATATATGAAATTAATGGGGCCTACAAGAGAGAATTGAGAAAAGGGTATGAGAGAATAAATCTAATTAATATATGTTTTGGTGTTGTTTTGTTTCCTAGTTTTATGTAATACTTTTTTTTTTGTTTTTTTTTTTTCGAACGGCAAGCTGGCATATAAATAAAAACTAGCCAGAGGCTAGAAGGTACAAAGTTTAGCAAGGAAAAAAAAAATAAAAAAAAATAGGAAAATACAAGAAAAGGAAACAGAAAACGCAACTAAATAGCAGGAGCTAACTACATATTAGCATAACATTCCCGAATAGGATCGCAACACCAATCAAGCCACCTAAGGGATACACCCTTTCTATTCCTCGCATTAATCCAGAACGCGGACATAGATTGTACCTCATAAGCCAGCACCGAGAGAGATTTAGCACCTGAGGAGTGAGCCTTCAAGTTCCGGAAGTTCCAAATTACCCATAGGAATACTAACATGATACCTTCGTGAATGATTTCCAGCCTCTTGTGACCTTTCAGTACGCTCTTGCAGTTAAGGAGATCTTTAATCGCTTGGACATTTGGATCCATCAATCGCCACCATCCAGCTATTCTTTGCCAAAGGTCCTTTGCTGTCCCACATTCTATAAACAAATGATTTTCAGTTTCTGGAGCCACACCACAGATTTTGCAAAGGTTGGATTGCGTGATGCCAATTTTTGATAAATTGACTATTGTTGGGAGTCTCCCATAACTAATTCTCCATGCTAGGATATTCAATTTCCCAATGATTAATGGATTCCACTGCCACTTCTCATCAGAACAAGGTAGGATGGTTGAGTCAATATAGTTCCTCAAAGATGAAACCGGATATGTCCCAGATGGATCCAATTCCCATCTCCACTTCAATGCTCCTGGAATGTTATCATTGTGAACCAGTTGGAAGTGACTTACAAATGAGATATCATCTTTTTCGAGCGTTTTACCAACATATCAAGATTTCTTTGAGAAATGCGTGTTTTCTTTTCATGTTTTGTCATGATTTATCAATTATTAGGACATGCAGTCAATTTTATAGAGTTTAATGGTTATTACTTTTATCATTCTATTTTTTATAGAGTCAATTTTATCATTCTATTTTTTATACAATTTATGATTTCTTTTTCTTATAATTGTTTATAATTGTTTGAACTCCACAAAATTCGGAAAAAAAAACATATTTAGAAAAGGTTATTTCTTTGGTAATCAATTTATATTAAAAAGTTGAATTTTCCAATTGAACACTCAAGACTATTAACTTCATATTCATCAACCATTACATTAAATTATACATTATATATATATATATATATATATATATATATATATATATATATATATATATATATATATATATATATATATATATATATATATATATATATATATATATATATATATATAAGGACAAATGCAAACCTACAAAAATATAGTCGATATATTATTAAAGAGCTCGAAAACGTATGTACAATTAACAAGAAAAAACAAAATACTTAATGTGGCATATTTCCTTTATCGAGAAATCAACCAAATACAAAAAAATGCAAACTCAAACAAAATATAACCAGGTATGTAGTAAAATCAACAAAACCAAATGATGCATTTAAAGTTAAATAAAAATTTGCGACTTATATGATGATCATAGCGTATTAGCTCAACATTCAGAATGTTTTTTATATTTAGATCAGTTTGGACAATTTTGCCCCTGTTCCTAATATCATGGTCATGTGGGACAAATAAAGTAAGTGTATCAGAACAAAACAATGACATAATAGTAAATCAAAAAGAAATTAAGATGTATTAGTCGATATTTTTTCCAAAATATGCAACCTATATATTTAACAATGATCAAATAATGCAACATGTTAATCTTCAACTATTAAACATAAAAGGAGAAGGTTAAAAACACAGATTACTAAGTATTAAGATACAATCGAAACAGAGCATAAAATAACTAAACATATGTCTCTGTAACTCAAACCAGGAAACAGAAGAATTTGATCAAAACATCATAAATAAGTAGAATTCGATAAAATAAACAGTATGGGTAAAATGGGAAATGAAGAGCAAAGGGCCACTAATGGAACAATGGCAAACAAAGAAAAAATTAAAAAAAAAAAAAAAAATAGTTACATAATATATAAATTAAAGACAATGCAGAAACTTACAATTCTCTTCCACAATACATCACTAAACCTCTTTTGTTACTGGTTGCTGGTAAACACTAAACTGTACTTGTATGTCTGATAATGGTGAATCGGAACATGTAGCGTATTTGTTTTTAATGGTGAATCGGAACATGTATCATCCCAAATTTCAAATCATATAGTTTTTTCTTCTGAGGAACTCAATTAAGTGATTAGTTGCGTATTTGATGTTATAATTATTTCGGATTTATAATATAAATCCCTTATTGTATTTTTAGTTTTCTTTTTCTGATATTTACAATCTTTCAATTCGTCAATTGAGAAAGGACATAGATTTTAATTAAATAGTTATGTATGTTTGAGCTTATTTCACATGGTATTAATTGTATTATATGTATGAACTGTCATGAATTACCCCTCAAAGACACACACACACACAAGTATGAAATTTAATATGACATTGTTGGAAACTATTTATTTGACACACATTAAAGAGAATGAGCATATCAGTGAGCAACAAATTCCAATGATGAAGTCTAGGGGTAGTTTGCTAATTACATTAACCATTTGCAGTGGATCAGTCATTGGGGCAACCATGAGGGAGGACGAATTAGCTCAATTTTGGTTCAGATAAAAGAAACAACTAAGCTAAGTGATATAATGTGTAATTTAATCAATATATGTATAAAAAAGGAATTGACATTTTTATTTAATGTAATTTACCCTACATGTTCATAAATAAAAAGTATAAGTTTTTGTGAAGAACGTGAAATTGTTACATACCTCTTTTTAATGATATAATGTTTTTTTAGAATGACATAATAGTAAAAGTGTATCACTAAAGTAGAATGACATAATAGTAAAGTACCTTTTCTGCACATGTTCATGTATTAGTAAAGTACAATGACATATTAATAACAGAACATAAGTAAGATGTATTACCCTTGACAAACAACAAATTGTAATCATATGGTACTGAAAAAATGGGTACAGTGGGTGTCAAAAGTCTTAAAACCAATGTTTTGAAAACCGGTTTTTTAGTTGAACCGGTATGGTAACCGGTTCCCGGTTCAACCGGTTTAAACGGTTCGACCGCCGAGTGAACCAGTTTCTATATTTGTCATGTTTTTTTCTATTTTCCTACACATACATACATATATAAATTATGAATTTGATGTTTACAAGTTCAAACATTAAAAATATACATAAAAATAAGTTGTAAATGAATCAAAATACATTAAAATAACAGATAATCATAAGTTTTAGTGTTTTATATCAATCGATATACGCTAAAAAGAAAATAAAATATAATACCGAAACAAAATATAGTTTTAGATGAATACAACTACATCAAAAAACTTTATAACATTTAACGTATGTTTTTATTTAGAGAAAACTAAATATATTTGAAAAAAAATACCAAAGTTTATTATGTAAATAATTATTTTTCATGTGTTTTTATTCGGATTAACCGGTTCAACCGGTTTATTTTGACCGGTTCAACCGGGTTTTCTAAAAACTGTCCGGTTCAATCCGGTTCAGAAATCAATGTAAAACCGGTGATAGTTACACCGCTCTCTCCCCCGGTTCTCGGTCCAACCGGTTTGACCGGCCGGTTCAAACCGGTTTTTAAAACATTGCTTAAAACATACCCATGTTTCAAAAACCAAAAACAATATGACATGAACTAAATGTTATATATCACGTGCTTGTACAACCAATATGACTAATTATAACATCAGTTTGTATCAAAATTAAAAAACATGATCATATTTAAAATCACATCTATCTACTTGGCATAGTTACTGTCTCAAAATCTGAATGAAATGAAAAGACTTCAGGACAATGATGAATCGGAACATGTAATATCCCAAATTTCGAGTCCAAAAATTTTGTTTTTAATTAAGTAATTTATAAAATCATTTACTGAAAACATTGTCGATATCATATCAATCCATAAACCACCATGAACATGTCTCAAAATCAAATCATCGAACAGTAATAAAATCATAGTACAATCCCATGAATCACATAGTACAGAAATCTGACATGCATGTGATGTGCAGCTACCGCGCCGGCTCTTTCCCCTTCGCTGAAGAGGTATCTGAAAAAAAAAAAAACTAAAAATTGTAAGTACGAAGCTTAGTGAGTTACCCCATCATACCACATACCATACAATCACATAGCATACATACTATCGGGCAATTCTGGGGCACCCGACCTACCCGGTCCGGCCATTCTGGGGTGCCGACCTACCCATGTCAAGCCGTTATGGGGTGCTGACCTACCCTTAGGTCCTAACAACCGAACTTTGGGGACTATTTCACCACCTTACTACTACTACCACATATATCATAACATAAACATACTGTCAGACATATCTAGGGTGCCCGACCTACCCTTCGATCCTAACAACCGAACATGGGGACTAGTCCCCTCCTACTACCATTATCACATACAACATAATCATGCTAGCACATAAACATAGCAGGTAGTAGTAAACCAGACAATTATCACAAAGACAACCATCTCAACTATAATAAATTACTAGTAGGTCAGCCTTGGTGCCTTAGACCTACTTCTACTGGAAGGTAACTCACATCGCTGTCATATAGTATCTGCACAGTCCTCGGCATGGAAATCAACTCGTCTCTATCCTCAATCCCTACACAACGACCTTTCTCGATTACTATTACATACTCATAACCCTTACAAGGGTCAAACCAAATCCAAGTCAAAGTCAAGGTCAAACCTCGGTCAAAGTCAACTTCTGATTGACTCGACTCGCTGAGTTGGTCCACCAACTCGTCGAGTCCCATTGTCCACTTATTGCCATAATCTCGTCCTTACTCGATGAGTCTAGCAAGATCTCGACGAGTACATCTTCAACAACACCTTTTGACTATCTTCAATCGAATCGCCAAGTTCGTTCTTGAACTCGCCGAGTTCATCTTCATCTGAATGAATGAGTCTAGCCTCTGACTCACCGAGTTCCCCATGAACTCGTCGAGTCCGTCTTCATGAGGTTGGGACATTGCCTTGGACTTGTCGAGTCTGTTCATACACTCATTGAGTCCCATGATTTCCAGGTCCAAAACAAACCCCTAGCAGGCTGAGTGTTCCTACCACTCAACCAAAACCATTTCCAGAAGACATCTTAGGGAGGAAATCGACCAGAATCGCCGAGTCACCCAAGTGACTCGTTGAGTCCTTCCTTGTCCAAAACTATACAGTCTATTATAATGGGTCTTAACGCATCAAAACTATAGATTTGGCCTCCTAGAGTCCCTTTTACACGTAAAGCTACAAACTGGATGTCCATGCATGGGGCTTTTGGCTCCAAAAATCCATAAAAAGGGCTTATGTGATGCATGGATCTCCCATGGTCATAAAGTTGGCACCTTTATGCCATGGGAACCCTCAATGGTTCCAGATCTGAAGTCCTTATCCCAAAATCGTGGTTGCATCCACTAATGGCTCCAAAATGGCTTCCAAAAATCCTAAGTTACTTCAAAAAGAGTATCTAATGAAAGGAGAAGCAAGGTCTGGACTTTTTACCTCCAATAAACAGGAAATGAAGCAAAACCTCTGGATCTCCTTGCTCCTTCTGAAATCCCAACCTCCTTCTTCTCTTTAACCTTCTAACCTGCACAAAATGGCATAAAGAGCTCAAAATCACTCAAAAACGGTTAGCGTTTCGTGGGGATGGTCTGTGGGTGTTGGAGGGTGCAAAGGGAACCACTTAAGGTGTTTAAATAGGGTGCAAACCCTAAATATTAGGGTTTTTTTCCAGACAGCTCCTACTCATCGAGTCGGTCTCCCGACTCGTCGAGTATGTCACTTAAAATCTGCACATAGTGTCGAGTCTACTCGACGAGTTGGGACTTCAACTCGCTAAGTCCCAGAGTAAAATAAAATAATACTTGGAATTAAATATGTACTAGGAACCGGGTGTTACAGAACAACACACTCAAGTTTTTTTCCTGTAAAGAAAGATAGTTCATTGTTTCGATAATCTCACCATTCATGTGCATCTGCATTGTTACTAATAACATCAACTTCAACCCATTGATTCTGAATGAGAACCCAATGACCCCACATACAATCTCCATTTAGACATAAAAATCCCAATTTCCCCTCAATTTTTATTAGCCTCGAATTATACAACATGTAATGTATATGTGTATAAGGTGAAAATATGATTACATGTTCTTCAAAATATGCATCAAATCGTAATATTTGATAGTTTAACAGTAAGATGTAAACTACACCTTTACTTATGATTGCTTCATCCGATACAGGATGAACAGAAGATAATAAGCAAATATTACCTAGGTCCCTCCATTCCCAAGTAGTGGAGTGAAATAATTCTACTTGGAAGTTTTCATAGCCATGATCGTTTGTCAAGTCACTACAATAAAAAAAACATAAAAGTTATACAACCAACTAAAACAAATAGTTAAAAAAAATAATAGTAAAAGAGTCTTACGATGGCTCTGCATATGATAAAAGAATAATCTTGAAATGCAATGGGTTCGAACGCGTAACCACCATAGCAAACTTAACCGCAATGTACTTATAAATTGAAAAAGATAATGATTTGGCATCTAAAGTCGTTGGCTTACAAACAAACAAAAACTTATTTGGGTATTCATCTGCATTATCACATTCACCAAAAATGAGTTTGTTCAACGCAGTTGCTAAAATTGTAAATGCTTTTGGTAGACAACCAATGTCAAAATTCTTCGCACCAGACGACGGAACAAAATGACGCTCTATCATTCCCCATGGTTTTTTTTTGTTGAACAATAACACCATCAAGAACATTACTTTTTCGCTTGTAAAGATCAAGAACACGCTTGTTGTAAGTTAGTTTTTCAAGACGTTTACTTGTGCAACGTATAATATGCAATGTCTTTAATGATGTTCTTGAAAGAATTTCAATAAACACGTCAGTCTCCAATAATGCAAGCTGTAAAACAATCAAAATAATCATATAATGAACAAACATAAAGTAAAATTAAATGTTTAAAATACATATAACATATGAAAGCTAAAAAGGTACATGAAATTATAAAATTACAAAATGACATCTATGGTAAGCAAAAAAAAAATTGAATGTCAATATATAACAATCAATTCCATCACATATTTATTATATACATTATCAAGAACATCTTAATACTACAATGTAACAATGTAAAACCAATCAATTTATCATAACGAAGCAAACAATATTTCATAAAAAAATAACAATCATGGTGTAAGTACAACAAAATAAATTAATCAAACTTTATACCAAATTATAAGAATGGGTAAAAATTCTTTTATTATGATAGAAATAAGGTGAAATTGAAAAAAACAATAAATTAATTGAGTATATCTTTCACTATATACAATCTACTATACGTGTTTTATCCATAATAGCATAATACTTTGCTTTTATTCGTTTAAATGGTAACTATGTTGCATTTATGCTTTGCTTTTATTGCTTAAAATGATAATTATGTTGCAATTATTCTTCAAAATGAGAAATACATTGTTAATATTGGTGATCCTTTTCTACAAATGGACAAACTCTGACAAAAAAAAAACATTTTGTATATCCCATATCCTTACAACTTTATCCAAAGAAGATTATACGAATGTTGTACATAAATGAAAAAGAAACATCTAAGCAAAGGGAAATAATATGTAGTTTAGTCAATATATGTATAAGCTAAAGTAATTGACATTAAATAAAATCAAACGATATAGAAAAACCATTATAAGTACAATGTTATTATATGGAAATTGTAATGACCATTATGCCCCCCCCCTCACCCAACCCTATATATACATTTTTTTAATAATTGGAATTCTCAAAAACTTAACATTCAGACTGTTAGATTTGACAGCCATGGACCAAGATTACAAAACTGGAGCATAAGGCCTAAAAGTCAAACCAAGAACGAAAATTAAAACAACAGGTAATCATCCAGACTTGAAGGCTAATGTACATAAATCGAGTCTATAACCTAATACAAAGTATTTTTATATAACATTTACATTTAGAGATGTAAAAATCACACCAAAGAGCTCAACACCAAACAAAAATAGAAGAAGAAGATTACAAAATAATCCAATTTTTTTATTGACTTAAACATAATTGAAAAAGATACCTTCGTATGGAGTTGTGTTTGATGATTGATTTCATAGCCTTGAGTACCCTCCATTGTTGCTTGTAGGAAACAAAGAAGATGATGTAATAGAGCTGTAGAATAAAAAAAACCGGTATAACCTTAAAGAAATCGAAAACTTATGTAGATAAAACAGAAAAAACTATTAAGATCGTGATGGAGAAAGTGTACAACATCATTGTGAGAAAAACGTGGATAACTTTGCATGTACCAACAACCTGTTAATCTCATGTATCCTAAAAATAACCAATATTTCCCTCTACTGATTTTATTTTAAAAAATTACAATTTCAATCAAATAAAATATGTAATAGAATATGAATCGGATTATTTGTCAAAATCATGTATCTAATTGAATTCAATAAAAAGTGATTGATTATTAGTAAAGTCAACTTAAAGGTTTTGATTTGCCATAAATCAAAGAGTATATGTCTCTTGAAAATAGAATGTGTAACCATATACCCACTAACCCTTAAGATTTCTTTCATATTTTTAAGTATAAAAAATTTATTCAATTTTAAATACAAAATTTATCATTTTCTACTAAAAGATAACTACCATATAAATATAACCATTAATATAGTGATTTGGGCTTATATTGTGATTATCATCTGTCGAATGATCATTCGTGAAAATATATTCAGTTATATTTTGAATATTATCTATCAAATGATTATTCATTACATATTCACTTAATAAAAATATATAGGACGAAATTACCCCTGAAACACTCACATCATACATTCGATCATGCGAGTATGTAATTCCCAATGTCCCCATGTTGTCTATTAAATATGATATTTTTATTAACATATAAAAACTTTATAAATACTTATAAAATAAAGTGTGTACCTTAAACTTCGAAGGAAGTATTGATTGATCAGATGATTGAAAACACTCATATGTACACAAACGCTTCATTATATGAATGGTGACAACTCACTATAGAGATAAACTATAAAAAAAAATTATGCACAACATTTTTTGTTAAGTTGTTGGCACACTTCCCGTTGTTGTCAATGTAAAATCGAAGTCCATAACGAGAGGTTACACGAGATTCCGCCACGTAAAGCTGACCATGAGCAAAAACCGGTTGAAACATGTACACACAAACATGATTAAAAGTTTGGCCTTGACTTTTGTTTATTGTCATAGCGAAGCAAACTTTTACTAGAAACTATCTTCTCTTAAATATAAAAGGCCATGATATATCATTTGGAGTCATATCAACCATTCCAATTAGAACTTTCTCTCCAACATGATTTCCAGTAATAATAACTGCTTCAAGAACCCTCAGACTGATTTGTGTGACAATTAACTGAGTCCTATTACACAACCCTTTTTGTAACACCCAAAAATTCAAGCCAATTTAAAACTTTTTAAACAACCCAAAAACCATTAGTTATTACAAACTTGTTTTCAAAATGTAGAATATCAGAGTTCCCGGAAACATAGTCATAAAGAGTGAGGAGTTGTACGATCACGCCTGTGCCTTGACACGATCCCCTGATGTACCTGAAACAATAAACTGAAACTGTATGCCCGAAAGCTTAGTGAGTTACCCCCAAAATATTGATACACATACAATCCACATGGCAATATCAACATTAGCATATAATATCAATCAAAACAGAACAGCATGTACTGGGTTCACAGCTTTACAAGGTGGACTACCCCTGGGCCCTCAGTACGAGTCTGGAATGCCTACCGGGCCCTGAGCTTGTATCTGGAATGCCATTGAGCCCTCAGTACGAGTCTGGAATGCCTACCGGGCCCTCAGCTCGTATCTGGAATGCTCTCGAGTCCTCAGTATAAGTCTGGAATGCCTATCGGACCCTCATCTCATATCTGGAATACTCTCGGGTTTGTTGGCTACCGCACAGAGCAGTACAACCTCAACCCACCCCACACAACATGTCGACATGTAACAGATAAATGCACATACAAGTAATCAATCAATATCACAGGCAGTCATACAGGTCTACCCGACTAGCATATCAACTGGCATACATTACCAACTCAACTCAACATATCAATGATTACTAGGATATCCAATCCAATGGGTCGGCCTTGGTGCCTTAGACCCCTTAGTATAGTGAGGATAACTCACCTCGAAATGTTAAAGTCCCGTAGATACAATCCCAGCTGCTGGATGACAGATTCCCGAACTATCAATATCAAAACATCACCCAATTAATAATTAGGTCCAAACACATAACCACACATTCTTGGAGTAACAGGCTACATTACCCCATCTTGGCTTGCTTCAAGCCCAAGGCCCAAACCAAAGACCCAAAAGTCAAACTAGGAATTAAAGCCCAGCATATGGCCTAATTTCCAAATTAGGCCCAGGCCTATACATGGTCTTATTCTAAGGCCCAACATCATATAATCATTAAGGCCTAGTTATGACCCATCTATGGCCCAATTTCCCAAATTGGGCCCAACCCCTTACATGGGCCTTACCTTAGGCCCATTAAATTATTTTAGTCCATATGATTATTCTTGGATGGCCTGTTAATAATCCAATCATCAAGGCCCAATAGAAAGGCCCAACAATAAACCCAAGTGAAGTTAGGATTTCAGATAAAATGCCGATTAAGGTTAAGTTTCCTACTTAACCCATTAAGGACTTAATCCACTAAGGAATTAATCCATTGAGTCCAATAGTGTTTAGATTAAATTATGCCAATGATTATTATTTAATATTTCAAGTTTATTAAATAATTCTTGCATGTCCCGGTTAATTCCCCAAATTAGGGTTTTAAGCCATTAGGGTTTTCCAAACCCTAATTACTAGTCCATTTATCAATTTATTGGGCTTTTAGGTCAAATAGGTCTTTATTGGGCCTATTAGACCCACTAGAATATCATCAAGCCCATTAGGGTTTTATTGGGTCCATTGGGGTCTCTTTGGGCCCACTAGGGTTTAGTAGTCCCTTGTCCAACATCCAAACGAGTCACAAACCAAATAAGGCACACTGCCACCCGACACGGCGGCCGGTGGCGGCAGGAGGCGGTAGCCACCACCTTATGGTGGTTATTAGGGTTTTCTTTACTATTCCGATGGCTTACACATTACAATGCCATATTCAAATACACACACACAACACTAATAAACACACACAACAACATACTGTTATGCCTGCAACTTCCAAGAACTCCTTCTACTACAAATATGAAATAACAAGAATAACAAGAAGATTGAAATGATTACTAAAATGGAATACTCAAATGACAAGATAAAGATAGCAATTCGAGAAGCTATCACTCTCCAATAGAACGTTCTCACAGAATACAACTACCCCCCCCCCCACACACACACACACATAATGACACTCAATAAATACAGAATAATCAGGTACAAATCCCCAAATTGCCCCTAAACCCCCCTAAGTGGTCCCACTTGTGCCCAGGTCCTTCGCCATCCCACTATCTGTCTGTTTCGTCTTATTCCTGCTCCTTTTGTAGGTGAACACTACAGGTGGGTACATTACATTACCCCCTCCCAAAGATTGACCTTGTCCTCAAGGTCAAAATTGGGAAAGTTCACTTGGATATTTTCAAAGTCTTCCCATGTTGAATAGTATTTCGGTGTATCCTTCCACTTGATCAGCACTTCATTGCGTATCCCTTTATTTTCTTGTGAACTTCTTACCCCCATGACTGTTTCTGATTCTAACTTCAGTTCCAGATCTTCCCTGAGTTGATGTGGTAGCAATGGCTCAACTGTTTGTTCCCTAATGGCCTTTTTGAGCTGAGAAACATGAAAGATGGGATGGATTTTAGCAGTTTCTGGCAATTCTAACTTATATGCCACCCTCCCAATTTGTTGAGTGATTTGGAAGGGACCATAAAACCTTGCTGCAAGTTTTTGGAAGGGTCGGGGTCCCACAGATTTCTGGCGATAGGGTTGCAATTTCAGATACACCCAATCTCCCACTGCATAGTTAACTTCACTCCTCTTCTTGTCAGCCTGCCACTTTATCTTTTGCTGAGCATATAGAAGATGGCCCTTCAGTTCATCCAAAATTGCATCTCTTTCCAACAATTGATCTTCCAAGGCGGATACCCCTGTTTCCCCCACTTGAATTTTGTTTACTCTCGGAGGGTCCCTACCATACAATGCCTTAAATGGGGTGCCTTTGATTGTTGTATGGAAGGCTGTGTTGTGCCAAAACTCTGCCCAATGTAGACATTGGTACCATGATTTAGGTTTTCCCATGATGAAACAACGAAGGTATAATTCCAAGGATTTGTTGGTGATTTCAGATTGGCCATCCGATTGGGCGTGGTAGGCTGTGCTCCGACATAGAATAGTACCTTGGACACGGAATAACTCGTTCCAAAATTTTCTCATGAAGACCTTGTCACGATTTGAGACTATAGTCACTGGAAAACCATGAAGGCGCACAACTTCCTTGACAAATACCTCTGCCACCCTTATTACGGTGAAGGGATGTTTTAGGGCTAAGAAATGTGCGTATTTAGTCAATCGGTCCACGATCACCAACACCGTATCGAACCCATGAGAACATGGTAATCCTTCCACAAAGTTCATTGCTATTTCTTCCCATACTTGAGCCGGAATAGGAAGGGGTTCCAACAGTCCAGTAGGGTGAGTGGTTAGAGCCTTCTGTGTCTGACAAGTATTGCATTCTCGGACATAGTTTTGAACTCTTTTTTTCATTCCCACCCAACACCATTCCATGGATAACCTCTGGTAAGTGCGTAATTCTCCCGAGTGGCCACCCACCACCAAATCGTGATACTCCTTAAGGAGCTTAGGAATCAATGTTGAGTTGTGAGGAATAACCAGCCTTCCTTTGTATAGGACCCGGTTGGCTGTCACCGTGAAGCCCGCATGCACCTTTTCGGATTCCATTAGGTCTTTACGCACCTGTTGGATGAAGGGATCAACCTCAATTTCCTTCCACACTTTCTTCTCTGACAAGTTCCATGAAGAGGACATCATACACAATTCAATACTGGAAGTGAATTCCCATGACAGGGCATCAACTACTTTGTTTGAGGCTC